ATATATATATATATATATATATATATATATATATATATATATATCGTGCTTATATCAGAATAGTATAGCCTTCGTTTGTATTGTAAACTTTAAACTTGGAAGGGGTGATAAAACTTTTTGTTTCACATTTCTTACTTGTATGGAAGCTGGTAGAATTAATTAATGACTATGTCCTACCTTTACATTTATCAGCGAATGCTTATTTTATTAATTTCAAGTCTATAATTTCCTTATAATGTGTAACAAAACTCCCAATTATTCTCAAATTCCGAATTCACATTAATTCTTCATTTCTTTACTTCAGATGATCCCGACTTTGATGCCAAGCCAATGATACTTCTAGTAGGACAGTACTCAACAGGAAAAACAACATTTATCCGGTACTTACTGGAGGAAGATTTTCCGGGAATCAGGATAGGACCCGAGCCAACCACTGATCGATTCATTGCTGTTATGTGGGGTGAAGATGTTGGCTCTATTCCTGGTAATGCGCTTGTTGTCGATTCTAAGAAACAGTACAGAGCACTGAGCAGGTATATTTGATTTTAATCAACACTGTTCTCTTTCGAAGTGTGGGCTTGATTTTCCATAGGTTTCAATTTTTTTATTGATTTTCTTTATTCAGTGCTTAACTTCACTGAGGGAAAAGGTTTTCACTTTGCTGGCATTTACATTAGATCGTTTTGCAGTGCCAGTTTTGCCGAACCAGATTACTTTTTGTTAAAAAATGATTATTTAGGTAAAGCTTCATCTAAAATCGTTTATATATAATAAGCATTCATTAGTTGACATTTCTTGAAATTTCTTAGGAAATCACACAGTCTATTCTTTCAGATTCGGGAATGCATTCCTCAATCGATTCCAATGTTCAACCTTAAATAATGAGGTGCTGAAAAGTGTTACCATCGTGGATACACCTGGGATACTGAGTGGAGAAAAGCAAAGGTATACTATTGGTAATTGTTCCGTATTATTTATCGGGATAATTATATCAATATCGCTCAGAAACCTTTGTTCTTGATGCTTGCACGATGTGTAATACTGTTAGCGATCTTAATATTCTAGAATAGAGGTTATCTGATGACCTATACGGAAAAATATGGGATGAAGAGATGTTTGCTTACTGAAACTGTAAGAATGTCGCTTGTTGAAGGAAAAGTATTGGATAAATGCTATGATATTCACAGTAGTGTGATGTCTGATTAGGCGACGCATCAGTTTTTGGTTGATTTAGCTGCTGAGAATTTAAACCGATTACATTAACTGATCAACAAATGAAGGTTTTCTTCGGATTTGTTTGAGGCTTGCGGGAAAATACTTTTTTATTGTATAGCTCTTAAACTTTTCACACCTTTATAGGGTGGACAAATGTAGACAAAATTTAATTGATATGCAGTTCAAAGTTATCTAGGGAAGTTCGCAGTAGTGAATTCTAAGTTTCCTTTCACCATCAGTGCATGTAATAATAGCAAAGGGATATTTTCTGCAAACCAGTTACGCTTGCGAATGATTATTCTTAATTCACCAACTTGTAAAGCAAAATTTTCTTTTGAAAGAGTATCAGAATAAAATGTATAACCAAAAGGCTCAGATGATAGATTTGTGGTGTTACCAGATATTACTAAGTGATTGATAAATATGCGTCTGTATAAGTGAAGTATCAGCGGCAACAAAATTAGAAATTTTCCTGCAGGATTGATCGAGGATATGACTTCACGGGCGTTTTGGAATGGTTTGCGGAGCGCGTGGATCGGATTATTCTGTTATTCGATGCTCATAAGTTAGATATTTCAGATGAGTTCAAACGTTGCATCGAAGCACTCTCAGGTATTCACCCTTCAATGGTTCATTATTATTTATCCTTTTTAGCTCTTCCTAAAAATTGTTTCTCACTAACCAGACTCATATGGGATCTGCGATAAGAATGATGATTATTAAGTGATAGAGAAGAAAAATTAAGGATTATTTCAGGAAATGAGGACAAGATTAGAATTGTTTTGAACAAATCTGATATGGTCGACCATCAACAATTAATGCGTGTTTACGGGGCGTTGATGTGGTCCTTAGGGAAGGTAGAGTTTTCCTTGATCTTAAATCCATTCTAAGAAAAAATCCTACCGGCTAAAATTTTTTTGTTATTAGTTTTTCTTAACTATGATGTCTGTAAGATTTGGTTAACTTCTGGTCTTTGCGAAAACAGTCTCGATGAACATTATTTTATTAACAGGTATTTAAAACCCCGGAAGTATCACGAGTATATATTGGTACATTCTGGGATCATCCTTTGCATTACGACATAAACCGAAGGCTTTTCCAAGATGAGCAACATGATTTGTTTGCCGATTTACAAGCTTTGCCCAGGAATGCGGCATTAAGAAAGCTCAATGATCTTATCAAACGGGCTAGGCTTGCCAAGGTTTAATTTGTGCTTTTGAAAATAAAATGCTCTGCACTCAGTCCCATCTTGAGAAATCGCTTTTTTTGATAATTAAACATTTTCGAGAATCAGTACCACTTTTTATATTTTTCAGACAATTCCTTTTAGGTCCATGCATTCATCATAGCAGAATTGCGCAAACAAATGCCTTCAATGATTGGTAAGGAGAAAAAAAGAAAGAGCTTATTCAAAATCTTGATAAAATATTCGAGCAGCTACAGGTGTGTTACCCATCCATCGTTCACCTCTTGATTAATGTTATCTGTTTCTTCTAATTCGTAAAGTCTTAATGATTTTTTTGTTCCGCTTTCTTGGTTTAGTCATTTTATATTCAGTTCTCAATTTTCAGCTTTAAATGTGGTTTCATTCATAGTAAGTCCAAATTTCTTCTCTCCATGATTTCGATGCTTTTTAAGACACATAATGATGCGATTACTTCCTTTCAGCGTGAACATAATATTTCGGCGGGTGATTTTCCGGATATCAACAAAATGCGTGAACATTTACCGGATTATGACTTCACCAAATTCAACCCAATTAAGCCAAAATTGTTAGATGTTGTTGATGGAATGCTTGCTTCTGATATTGGTATGCAATTTGTGCATTAAAAAAAATTTTTGGTCTATTTTAACTGTCAGTGACTGCTGAATGAAGTGATTCCAAATGATGCTAGGTCTTATTTAGTTTTTCAATACACTTTGTGCGTTCAGGAAAGCTTCACTTTTTAGTATGCGCAGTAACGAATTGAAAATCCTGCAGCACATTCTTCATTAAAAAGTGGAACCTTACATATATCAATAAAATTGATTCTTCGGTAAACGTTTTGTAACTGTAGAAAATTTCCAGCTCGATTAATGGCTCAAATTCCAAAAGAAGAGAATGCTTCAATTACAAACGGCTTGCCTCAACCTCATCAGGCAGAGGTCGATTTTTGTTTTGCTTCAATTTTTTTCTTTTTCTTTTTTTTTGTTTAAAGAGCAATCTATGGTATATAATGTCGGTGTACGAACTGTTCATTTTCTTTATGTTCAGTAATCTACAAAACGGTATTGTTCTTTATTTAGGTTCATGGTGGTGCTTTTGACCAAGCTGTTGAATCAGAAACTCCTTTTGGTTTTGGTAAAGGAGAAGGTTTCGATAAGGGTGCTAATGAATCCGGTTGGGTGGTGGCTCGAGAAAGATATAAAGCGGATGAAATGTTTGATAGTTTGGATCCCATAGATGGCAAAATAACAGGTGATTTTGGATTTTTCCAACTTTCTGTTTTGTTTTTTGATTCAAGAAACAGTGAATAATTTAGAGCATGCAAAAATTAGCAATCTGTAACTGTCACATGGAGGGGCGGTTTTGCAGTCGTGAAGTGCTGATTGCTTCGTGCATTAATTCCATTATTCTGTTCCAGTCGCAGGATTTGTACAAAGTGGATAAATTAATTGTTGCATTAATTTAATGCAAGGTATTTTATTAAGGTCGAGCAGCAAAGGAACATATGGTCAAGTCGAAACTACCAAATGCTGTTTTGGGTAAAATATGGAAGCTATCAGATGTTGACAAAGATGGAATGTTGGATAGTGATGAATTTGCCCTTGCAAACTATTTAATCAATTTGAAACTTGAAGGTCAGCATTTTAAGATTGCGCTTTAGCATAAAATTGTATTTCATGTTGGGATTGTCAGCAGAGCAACTACCATTGGTGCCTAGTGATGGTATTAATAGAAATTTATGGGCAAAAATCAAGAAATCAATGTAAAGAGGCAAGTAAAAAACTAGATTGTTCCGACAATTCCTGCTTAAAGTCTTTTTTTCCTTTTTTTTCATTCAATTCCAGCTGTCAGTCCAAGAATACGTATTCATTTTCAGGACACGAATTGCCAACTGAACTGCCGAAGCACTTGATTCCGCCATCAAAACGTGATGAAGATCCCATCTATCCTACATTAGATTCCTAAAAAGTTTATGAATTGGGAGAATTTGAACCAAATTTTTGGTCTCGTACAGCCATTCACTTCAAATATTGCTATGTACAATTGCTGAGAGTAAGAAATGTGTAATATATCTTGACTAACCTCACCAAAAGCCACGGATTTGAATAGCTAGATTTGAAATTTTTGTTTTTTGTTTCGGACCGCCTAATGATTCGGAGTCTGCATACAACTGGAACTTTTCGCTTTTCACATTCCAAAATGTGTTCGTAAGCTACAGTTTGTTCTCTCTGGCATGAAGTTAAAGACTGCTGTGCTAAACTCTTCATAAAATGTATGAAATTCATAAAAGTATTCAAAATAAAGGACGGACATTAATTTTAATTGAACACTTTGAGTGCGGCTTCTTTTTTTTTTCATCATTTATACATCTGTGGGAAATAATATTTTGGGTCTTATTGCCTTCCTCTTCTTTTACATTGAAATATTCTATTCTTTCTATTTATCTCCAGAAATCATTTTATTATTTTCATAACATGGTGATATTAATGCATTTTCTGATTAATTTTACTGACTAAACAAGTTGGTCTGGATTTTGACTGGAACAAGTTGGTCTGGATCAGCTTCAACAATGTTTTAGGTTCTTACAGGTCCGTGGTATGAATATGAGGTAGTTGAATTTCGAACTTTTGGCAAATATCAAATTATTGCAGGCGAAATAACTTGTTTTAGTTTATAGAAATAATAGAGTCTAAACTTACTTCCCAGAAAGCGTATTTATTTCATATTTAATTCCGAATTCCGAATTAATCATAACTGGATCCCTTCCTTGAATAGAATCTTCGTTTTTTTTTTTATCCTTTTTTTTGTTGTAGACTAGGATTATGTATGTTCACCTGTCCTATATATTTTTTTCTTTATCAGAATGTATTTCCTTCCGTTTGCATTCTCGCCAAATGTATTATTTACTATCAACAGTGATTTGCTGAAAATATTTTTAATGACAGAGTAATTAATACGTGTTCTGAATAGCAATGAATGAACCGGACAATAGTCGGAAGACGAGGGAGAAGAATTAACTGGTTAATTTCATGCTTACAATATGGAATTTACAGTATCCCTCTATCATTCTTGAATGAATAGTTCGGAAAATTTTCACAATCTTTCAGAATTTATCTTTTTTTTGATTTGTTACATATGTTTTTTCTTTTCTTTTTGCTCTTCATTTGCTGCACTTCAATTAAAATTCTCAGTCAGTGATTTTCTCTATCAAAATTATCATTTACAATCAGTGAAATAATTTATGTGTAATAAGCAAAATATGTGATACGTAAACAGTTGATTCGTCATTGCATTCAATTCCACACATCTATAACAACAACATGGTGAATTGCGCCAAAACTTGACAATTGTCACAGTCAAGATGGGATTGATGATAAGAATGAAATAGCTTCTAGCAATGTCAAATAATTAAACCTAAAATGATTGATCATACATATGTATACACCAATGAATATATGCAAAAATGTATTTTATTTGGTTTAGAAATAATTGTCAACAAGAATCCTTACATGTAATATTATCGATTTTTTTTAAATGGAAGTTTCAAAGATCAAAAAAGAAAACATAAAGGTGGAATATTCTTGCTGAAAGATGAATCATAAACGAATGATGAATAATTTCTCTTTTTTTCTTCCTTTGCAACTAACATTAAACTTTTAACGAAAATGAAAATGATTTATGAACCATTTCAAAAATTATTCTTTAATTGCTGTAATTTAAGGACAAATTAATCATTCATCAACAGAAAAGAAATCGGAAAACGAAGTGTTAATGATATATGGATGATTTAATTTAATAAATGTCCTAAATTTTCGTTAATTTTATTTTTAAAATGAAAAAGTAAAGAAGTAGGAATGGTGAGATGAAATTTTAACTGAAATTGAATAAATAGAAATTATTCGATGCGAAATTATTGATTGTTAATTTATACAAAGTGCAGAGAATAGGACAGATATTACAGGTGTGCGGTAAAAGGAAAACCGGAAATGAATGATTGTTAAAACGATTGGTTTCATATTTCGCATTCGCAATTAGATCTTAACTGTGGAAAGTACGACAGGTATTACAGGTGTGCGGTAGAAAAGAAATAGGAAATAATTGTTACAATGATCGATTTCATTTTTCCCACCAAATTTTCGCATTGACAATTGTATTATCTTAACTGTAGAGTGCGACAGGTATTACAGGTGTGCAGTAGAAGAGGAACAGGAATTGTTACAATGATCGATTTCATTTTTCCCACCAAACTTTCGCATTGACAATTGTATTATCTTAACTGTAGAGTGCGACAGGTATTACAGGTGTGCACTAGAAGAGGAACAGGAAATAATTGTTACAATGATCGATTTCACTTTTCCCACCAAATTTTCCCATCCATAATCATTATCTTTGATCTTATCATACGCAAGAAATCACTATCATTGTTGTATCAGAATTTTGTTTTTCTTTGCCCATCATTGTCGCTGTCATCATTATCACCGTTGGTGTTGTTGTTATTATTGTACATCATTATTACTATTGTTATTATTTCAATAATTATTATTATTATTAATTATTATTATTATTATTATTATTATTATTATTATTATTATTATTATTATTATTATTATTATTATTATTATTATTATTATTATTATTATTATTATTATTATTATTATTATTATTATTATTATTATTATTATTATTATTATTATTATTATTATTATTATTATTATTATTATTATTATTATTATTATTATTATTATTATTATTATTATTATTATTATTATTATTATTATTATTATTATT